TAGATTAATGCAAATCCATTTTATGACTATATGCACCTGAGTGATGATGAATATTCAAATGGCTTGAATTTTGACTATATGATGTACTAACGTTCTTTTATAGATGTCCTTTTGGGCACAGGTAATATCCTCCGAGTGTAGGTGCAGGGTCTTTGTGTAGATTCATTTCAGCTTTACTAGATATTGCCATATTGCTCTCCAAAGTCATTTTTCTGATTCATACTCTCACCAGTTCTCTACAAATAGTTTTCTAGTAGCTTTACATCCCAGCCAATAACTGGTATAATCAAACTAAATTTTGGCCTAACTTGAGGGATATGAAATGGTATCTCATCTGGGCTTTAATTTATATTTCCTTGATTAGTGGAGAAGTTGATCATCTTTAGAAGTTTTAGTAGGTTTATTGGCATTTCCTCTTATGTGAGTTGTCTTTTATATCTTTTGCTTATTTGGAAACTACTCTTAGCTTTCATGACTTATAATAGTTTTTTTTGTATATTCTCCTCATTAATCTTTTATTGGGTATGTGCTTTATAAAATATTTTTCCAGCCAGTGGTCATCTTTTACCTTTGGTGATGAAATCTTTTGTACACCTATCTAGTTTTAACTTTAAAAAATGGTACTGGGAATTAAACCCAGGCCTCACACATGCTGGGTAAGTACTCTATCACTGTTGTAATCATGGTTTTGGCAAGGGAATATATTTAATACAGGACACATAGTTTATAGGGTTATTTTATGATATTTACCCAAAAAGTCAAATTCAGAGGAGTACAAGAGATTAGTTACACACTAGAGGCCCAAAGAATCCAGCCAAGGGTCTGGACCCCCCAACAATGTCCCAAATAAATCCAGCTAAAGGCCTAGAGCCCAAGGCAATGTCCTCCACGAGTCTAGCCAGTGGCCTAGAGCCCATGGCAATGTCTCATGCTTGTCCATGTCGAGGACCTGCACCTGGAAGACCCAAAGGCCAGTGGTGGAAGCCAGAAAACCTGAACCAGTGGGATGAAGGATTTGTGCCTCCAGGCTGAGGGATCTACACTGGAGCCAGGAAGTGATGCTCATGGTGAAGATCAGAGCTCCCCTGACAAGAATAGCAGCCATTCCCAGCGACGGTGAGAGCCCAAGGCCTCCTCCATGAGAACAACCAAGTTCTTATCAGGAAAACCATCCTCATCAAGCTTCTCCTAGAAAAGCAACAGCCAGCAATGTTCCCCTTCAGTTCTGTTTTTATAGCTATTGGCAACAATCCTCAGGTGGGTCTTCCACACCCAGACCATGCTGATTTAATTCAGCTGAGCATTACAAGTTGACCGTTAGTTAATCTACCACAATCACTAAGACAAATCTCCAGCCCTTAGTTTTAATTTTTAATGTCTTTGAATTTCAGTCTTTTCTTTATGAACTATAATTTTTATGTCTTGCCTTTCCCTCCCTTGAGATCAGAAAGGTAGCTACATTTTTCATACAAAAATGTTCAACCCATGTGGAATTTACTTTTGAATAAAGTGTGAGGTAGAGTATGATTTGTTACTTTTTCCATTACCAGAGGCCTGAGATTTATCAAATTGTCCTTTTTCTCCCCACTGATACACAATGCAACAACTCTTCTACATCATTTCTATAAAGTTAAGGATGTGTTTTGAGCTCTCTATACTATTTATTGGTTATTTTGTGTAGCTGTGTCAATAACATGCCAGTTGATATCTATAGCTTCAAATATAATACAAACCATGTCCTGTGTGAGTATGGTAGGGTGAAGAAAAGGGTAGAGTCAGAACTCCAAATGTGGGCATCACTGACTTGAGGTGTGTTTGCCCAGAAGAAGGGAATGCTTTTGGCTCAGGAAGACATCATAGCTGGTTAAACTGCGTTCATCCAGGGTTGCATCCCCTATTCCCCACAGTGGCACCTTTTCTTTCTCTGGGAAATAGACAGATAAAGGCTGGTATGGACCCTGAATCAGAGTCTAGTTGATCGTTCTCCTACCTTATCCTTCTTTAAAAATGTCTGGGCTGCTCTACACCCTTGAGTCTTGCTGAAGTGTCTATAAATTTCATTCACAGTTGAGAAAATTTATTCTGAGAATATCATTACTATTGTATTGGCTTCCATTTGCATAGAACTGGCTTCTTTTTGATGTTTAGTCTTCCCATTAATTAATATTTATATCTATTTATGCTTTTTATTGCCTTTTAATGTTCAATAATTTTTTCATATGGGTTTTGTTAGATTTATTCCCAAGCTGTCTCTCTTTGTCATTGTTTTTATTAAATACACAAAATTATACTACCTTCTATGAGGGTATCACTCATGTGTATGAATCAATTTTTATATAAAGATGAACATATTCTTCTTACTGTTCCCTATGGTGAATTTTCTATTCAAAACCTTAATCCCCTTTTCTCATGGCATGTATGAGGAGGACTGTCTGCCCAGTGATTTATAAAAACTTTAAAATTAAGGCTAATTGATGTATTCCAACACCCCATATTACAATGTGTTACTTGTCTTTATTTTTTTTTCTTTGACTGCAGAAATCTTAAATTTTGGGAAGTCACATATATCAAGGTTCTGTACTTTGTTTTCCTGTTTCCTCATGCCAAGATTAAATAATGATTAACTTATATTTTCTCCTTAAAGTTATTTTTATTTAACTTTTTAATCCATCTGGAGTTTGTTTTGGTGTTTGCTGTAATTACCAATGTCAGTTTTCTTTCTTTTCTTCCCAGGAAGCTGGCCAAATGTTTCAGCACTGTTTTCTTCTCCACCGAACACTGCCTCGATCTATAATGTATGTCTATCACCTTCTTTTTCCGTTTTGTTAACTACCTGAAGAACTGGTATGACATGGGATTTTACTTGATGAATTAAAAATTTTAAAGGCTTACAGGGTACTTTGTCCTAGCAGTTCTGGGAGAATATTCTCAACAGAATTCTATCGTACCATTGCCTACTCCAAGTCTCATCAACAATAGAGCGGGCCATAAGTAGACAGTAGATGGATGGGTACATTGAGAAAATGAGAAGACACCTTTTTCTTAGATTTATTCTTTTGTTTTTTTCGGAAGGGAGCTAGGTTTCAATGACTTGCAAAGTGGTAACCCAGCAGACTGTTGAGGAAGAAATCAAGGCAGAGGGGCAGGAAGGAGATCAGGGAAAGGGGAATGCCTGGGGATGCTTGAGATACTAGTTTTGTAGTCAGAAGCTGAAACAAACTCAGGAATCTCTTTTTAAAGGACGCACTGTATGTCTGATAAAGGTCATGCAGTTGCAAGTTGTTTTTGTTTTCCTTTCGTTATGAAAAATTATATATAGAGAACAAACAGTCGATCACATGACTTCATTCCTTAATTTTCAACAAGGATCAATCCCAAAATTACTTTTTCATCTCAACTTCCACCCATTTTATCTCTTCCTCCACCACTGGAGTACTTTGAAGCAAATTTAACCACCCTATCACTTTATCTGGTTTCATTTCCACTATAAATATTTTAGTATGCTTCTGTAAAAAATAAAAGCTCTTTACAACAAACATATCTACAGTATGTTGAGATTGAATTTGCTGTCTCACTGATGTAATACATGGCTGTATTCTGACTGAAGTAGTGGAGCACGAAGGGCTTCAGCCTGGTGTCAGGAGACGTGGGTTAAGTCCTGGCTCTCAGTGTCCTACCTGTGTGACTCTTCATTCACCATTTCAAATCTACTTCCTCACTAGTGACAGGGAGCATAGTGGCAGTCTTACCTACTTTGGAACTGTCATGAGGATGAGGTTATCAAATGAGTAAAAAATAACAAAGATTTTGAAGCACCGAATTCTAGTTTTTACCCACCTTGGTATGGGGAGTGAACCAAAGGCCTCCACACAGAGCTACATCCCCAGTCTTTTTTTAAAATTTTAAAACAGGTCTTGCTAAGTCCCTAAATTTCTCAAGTTGGGCTAGAATTTGAGATCTTTTTGCTGGGATTACAGGTGTGAGCCACCAGGCCTGACTCTACATTGCAGTTTAACCTTGTCCTCTGTAGTTGGTTTTGAGGACACATATCTGAAGTCAATAGATCATCTTTGCCTAAGCCTTGCCTACAGTGTTCTTTCTGAAGTTTCTCTTTCTTAAAAGCACATCATTCTTGCCCGGGATTTAGCTCAGCGGTTCCGGCGCCTACAGTACAAGCACAAGATTCCAAATTCAATCCCCGGTACCAAAAAAAAAAAAAAAAAAAAAAAAAAAGCACATCATTCTGGTAGTTATTTTAAAATTATTTTATTATTGTTGTTATTTTGCCATGCAAGGGTCCAACCTAGGACCTCTTGAAGGCCAGCATGCTAGGCCAACGTTACCATGGAGCTACATCCCCTGCAACACGCCAGCCCCATCCTTTTCAACTTTAGAGGCCTAGACATCCACACTCACAAGAAATTCGGAATGCAAGAGAATTGTACTTAGGACTCCTTCTTCCCCCTTTCTGTGACCCTGTCTTTCTCTTAACTCTAAGAGTAGCAAGAACTGACTACTTTTTGGTGTGTCCCAACTCTCAGGATACTGCCTGAGAATTTTCCACCGTCACTTCAGTCGTCTTCAGCCTCCATAGCGTCAGATAACTAACAGGCAAACAAACTTCATCTCTCCCTCTCCAAAGCCACAACAACAATGACGGAAAAGAAAGTAGCTGGGCACCTTCTGATTGCTAAACTGCGCGCTTTGGGGGAAACCACTGGTCTCCCTATAGGGGGAACTCTACAGAGTGTTTTCCTGAGAGGCCGGCTGGGCGGCGTCCTCTTCTTCCCAATGCCCTGACTTCTATTCTTAGATCTGGAGATCCGCGGCTTTCATTTTTCCCTTTAGCGGTCCCCAGGCCTCAGCGGGCCTGGTGAGCTCCAGGGCTTCTCCGGCGGGGCGCTCGGGCTTCCTCCCGCCCCTGGGTGCGGCCGGAGGAGGCGGCGCCCTCGCTGTCTGGAGCTCCCCGCGGACTCCGCTCCAGAAGCCGGGCCCGGCCAGGCCTGCGTGGGGAGGGCGGGCTCGGCGCGGCGCGCGTGGATGCCCGGGGAGCTGCGCGCCGGCGCCCCGTCTCTGTCCCCTCCGGAGCTTGACCATGGCCAGTGGCAGCTGTCAGGGGAGCCAGGACGAGGAAACTCTGAAGAAGTTGATAGTCAGGCTGAACAACGTCCAGGAGGGAAAGCAGATAGACACTCTGGTCCAAATCCTGGAGGACATGCTGGTGTTCACGTACTCCGACCACGGTAATCACCGGCGGGCAGGAGCCCCTTCGCCCGCCCGGTGCCAACTTTGTGCCCTGCGGTGGGAGCTGCGCAGCCCCGGGCTGTGGAGAAACCTGCTCCGTGTGCTCTCCTTAGGGCCGAGGGGCTGCTGAGAATTACAGAAAGACCTTGCTTGCCTCTAGCCTCTAGCGTCTGTTCTCCCCTTTTCATACTTAAAAGGTGGTGGTGGTGGTGGTGGTGGGGGGGGTGATGTGGATGGTGACTTTGCTTTTTTCCCTCCACCCCTTGTTTTCCAGCTGCCAAGTTGTTTGAAGGCAAAAATTTCCACGTGCCTCTGTTGATCGTCTTGGACTCCTATATCAGAGTGGCGAGTGTGCAGCAGGTAAAGGAGCTTTTTTCCCTGCAAGCATTTCCCCTTCTGTTTGAGAAGACGCGCTGTCCTGGCAGATAATGCTCAGAGTTGCTGGTTATTTTCCTGAGATTTGGTTTGTCCAACCGTTGACTGTGGTTTCAGGATAGAAACCTTCTCAAATCATTAGGTGATGTTAACAGAATAAAAGGGCCCACTATGTGGTCCCTGACTGTCTTTTAGGAGTCACTTTATAAAACTGACTGAGAATATGGATAGTGGTAGAAGCAGAATAAAAATAGGATGAGGTTTAGTTCTTCTGTTGGCAGGAGGAGTTCATTAGTGTTTAGACTCAACTATTCTAACAATCTTTGCAATGTGCAGAGTGGCCTAGGTATCCCACTGTTGTGAATCGTTTGGGGAAGGGGAATAATTAACAGTAATAAAACACAAGTAACTGGCAGATTCTCCTAGATTTCAGCTTTGTTGTTTGTTTGAAGACAGATTTCTACTCTTGTTCAGTTGTGGTATACCTTGTAGTATCTAAAAAGAGTGATGTTTTACACTTCCCCTTGGGCTTAAATGTTTACTTTGCCACAGTGTTATATGAATGTAAAAGTGGAAATCCATAGGAAATCCAGAAATATGTTAAATACCTGGGCATATTAAAAAAGCGGCCCTAAGATGATACTTAAGAATGATGTAAAGTCAAGACAAAATTTCTCAAGGTGATAACTTCCTTTTGAGTGCTTTGAGATTTGGGGAACTGAAATCAGTTTTGTCATCTGCATACTGAGCACTAAGGGAAAGACAATGGGGTTTAACTCTATGGAGGTGCAGTCAGAAGGTTGATGGTTCTTTCTTTTTTTAGACTAGTGTTTCTTAATATTCAAGAGGCTAGACAGAGGTAAGCATTATCTCAGTCTCTAAGCTGGCCTCATCTGTTTATATCTGTATGGTATCTCTGTATCTAGCTGTATCTAGTGTTGGTGAATGTTATCTTGCTTCCTTGAGATAAAGACTTTTAATATTGGGATACATACATTTTTTTTCTTTAACAGTGAAATATTGTTCATTAAGAAATGAGAGAGGCATTCTAAAGACACTTTCTTTTTAGCACTCAAAGTCTGAATTATGCCCATTGAATCCAGGCCACTTTCTACCCACTAGTTTGTTATAGCTCCACCAATATCATGCTTTTTCCTTTCCTCTGCTTGGGGTTCTGAAGTGCCTCCATTCCAAGGCAGTGCATTGGATAGGGTCTGCTCACTCAATACTGGTCAGGACAATGCGCCCTGAGTTAGCCTTGGTCTACAGAGTCCAAAGGACAGAGTGCCAGACTTGAAAACCCAAGGGAGGCTGAACCACATTCACTATTTATGTTTCCAGTGCTGGAGATTACACCCTGAGCCTTGCACATGCTAAGCAGGCATACTGCTACTCAGCTATGTCCTCAGCTCCCATAATTCTTAAATTTTATAAACTTCCCAGGCCTGGACATTGAACTTGTCTGGAGTAGTTACACATGTTCTTGTTCAGAGCAGATCAGAGACAAAATGTGCTAGAAAATAAGGAAGCATCTTTTTGTTTGGTGATTTAATGAAATAGACTTATTAGTTTCAGCATCATATGTATATATATATATATCTACAAATCATATGTGTGTACAATTTGATTCTCACTGTAATTCCATTGCCCTCTCAGAAGTCTTACCACCAGATATTTTAATACCTAGAGTGAGAGTAAGTAGCATTTTGAGGATCATGGAGCTTGTGGCAAAGCCAATACTGAAGTCTTCTCATACCTTCAAAATGCCTTTCCATCATACAGACCAAAAGTAACAAGTGCAATGGTTTGATAGAAATACTATGCTTAGGCTGGCTATTTGAGTTATCTTTGGTCTTATCAGTGGAATGTAGAAAAGGATCTCTCTCTACTGATAGTTTCATATTCCATTTGAAAGTTTTTTTCCTTTAAATTTCTTCAACCGGTATAATAATTAGTATGGTTGTTCTCTAATGCTTCCTATGTTCAGTTAGCTGGAAGTGCCCAATTAAAAACTCTTGATGAATATGAGGAATTAAGGTAAATTACTTTTCAGAAGTAAATATTAAGATTTGTTCCCAGAAGTTTGTAAACATATTTCCAGAGTCTGAGTTTTTTCAAAATATTTTTATATTTTATTAATGCTTCTTACTAAATGACCAATTTTAGAGAATTGTTAGACTTGCCATTGTTTACTTTTTTTGCCTGCCAGTCAGTTTTTGTCCCCTCCGTTTCAGTCTGTGAAGGACAGCAAAATAACCCCTTGACTTTCTCAAGTGCATTAGATGGCTTGAGTTTATAGAAAAATCATAGTAAAGTAAAGCTACCAATTTAATTGTAAACTGTGCAAGATGAGAAACGGCTTTGAAAGATAAGTTTTCAGTGGAATGGATTAATGGAACAATTGTGACCTACGCTTTGCTGCTACAGTTCCATTCAATCATAGAAACTCCACAGAGCGCCTGCAAGGTCAGTTGCTTGAATATTTTTGCCAGGCAATCATTGATGCTTCAGCTTACCAACCCAAACAAAACAGGTTTTCTCCTTGAGTCAGCTGTACAGGTACAGACATGAGTTTAGTATCCTACTTTTTTTTTTTCACTACCAGAAGCTCTTCAGAATGTTATTTTTTTAAATACATGGGGTGGGGGGGAGTCTCAATGTATTTTATGAAAGCTCAAAAATAGTAGGTTTCTATGACAGCTTATGTGGGGGAGGATGTCCCACTTAAATGTATGTAAAAATAACTGTTAAAAATTGCTGCCTTTTAAACTAATTCGGACTTATATAAAAGGAAGTAGTGGCAAAGTAAAGCAATTCATGCTTAATTTGAAAAATAACATTGTAAAGATGTCCTGTTACAAGTAATATTGTAAAGAGATCTTGTAGATGATTATCTTTATGAAGTATTCTTGTTTAACCCTTCTTGTTTATTCCTTGCTGAATGCACATAAATCTTTTACTTTGTCATTCAACCCTGTATCATTCAACTCCACTTATGTGTCCAGTCTTTCTTTTTTTAAAATGCATCGTATCTTATCCATCAACAGTTTCCTTCCTGTAGCAATCTTTTTAACCATTTAGCACTTTCTTCACAACTGACCAGTTTTAGAAGGCTCTTTTGAAATCAGATTCAAGTCCTGCCTCTCTCATACTGTATCTTTCTATGTGGAACTCTAGCTCAAAGCAAGTGTTGCTTTCAGGACTTAGAGCGTATTGCTATTTTCCACATATCATACTTAGATACTTTTTCATTACTCATAGATGCTACATTTATAAGCATTTTCTGTTTTCTTTGTTTCTTTCCTGACTATCTCAAATACAGTCCTCTAATGTAAAGAATTAAAGATACTTTAAATTTATAGATACTTTAAATATACAGTAGAAGTAGAAGAGTGGGTTGAATTTAATCTCTGGTTTGGAGTCAGGACCTAATGTTTTTACTTTTCAGAGTAAAGAACAACTTATTCAAGTTGGCATCCTGTGTAAATGGACTGAATGAAGATGTATTTGGAATGCACCAATAAGTTTATATTTCACTTGGAAATGTGAAATCATTTCCAAGTGAAATACAAAGAAAAGAACCTAAGGACATTTGTGATTTTTAGACATCATTAGTTCATAGTTAGACATTGTAGAGAAATGTAAAGGGGGTTACAGAGAAATTTTGCTTCCTCTCCATATTATATTGCTCTTTTTTTTTTCCTGTAACACATGTAGATTCAGTCATACTGCAGTGCCATTTCTTTTGCCAGTGACAGTATAGCCTCATTATTTGAGGAGTAGTCATTTCTGATAACTTACACTTTGCCACTAAAATCTCCGTCTTCCCCTAATTTTCCATTGTAGGTCACATTTTTTCCCTATCATTGAAATCCTAAATACTTGGAAGAGATTCTAATAGATATGTGTTTAAAAAGTACTAAGATGTGAGGATAGCTCTTCTTGCAGTTAATCATTTTAGTTTGGCCTCTAAAACAACTTTTGTAGTTAGTTTTACTTAGATAATAGGGATATCTATTTTTTTCATCAGTCAGAAATATGATTTCTTTTTGTATGCCATTCTGGTATGTTTTTAAATCAATATGGATTCTATGGATATTGTTTGCTTTTGTTTCTCAGTAAGTATTTTAGGGTATTGTTGTTTTAAAATAATCATTTAAAAATTATTCCCTGAGAAGGAAGAGATATGTTTGAATGAATACGTTTCATTAACATCCTTTAAAAATGTGAATATTTGCCTTTCTGTCTTTCAGGTGGGTTGGTCACTTCTATGCAAATTAATAGAGGTCTGTCCAGGTACACTGCAAACCTTAATGGGCCCCCAGGATATTGGAAATGATTGGGAAGTCCTCGGTGTACACCAGTGAGTATGACAGATGTGTAAAAACAAATTACATTGAACATTTATCTATGCCTATGACAGCCTTTATCTCTTATATTTGCAACCCAAGTAAATTCCTTCCAAATACAAATATTTTTTTCCTTGGGTCAGTAATTTGCATTTTTACACTTAGAAGTTTGAATTAGTAAACTAACATTGGTAGTAAAATGTTAGGTGATTTTCTAATAATATAATTCTACAATAATATAATTGGTTAATTTGTAGATTTTTGATGACTGCTTAAGGATTCAAACCAAGAAGAGTTTAAAAATTTTTTTTTTCTTTTTAATAGTGGAACCAAAATGAACTGGTAGTTCTTAAAATGTAAGAACTGTAAATTTAATTCTATAAGTAGTAATTTAAAAGTTTATGCTTTATCATCTTTGGTTGATATATTTATGTATATTCATGCATGTATATTTAGTGAGTTTAAACTATGGCTTTCAAAAAGAAGAAAAAAGAGGAAAGCACCTTCAGTACATCTGCAGCCAAAGTTTGACAGCTCTTTTGCTGGCTATGTTTTTGCAATTTTTAGCATGATGGCTTTTTAAATAAGACAATTTTCTTAGTTGTAATTAATTAAGAGAGGATGTTCTGAGAAAAAAAAATGTTTCAAAGAAAGTCCTTTTTATAACTTAATCCTTTGACATTTGAAAAGTATCTCCTGGGCTGGGGATTTAGCTCAGTGGTTCCACCGCCTGCCCCGCAAGTGCAAGGACCCGAGTTCAATCCCCGGCACCAAACAAACAAACAAACAAACAAAAATAAAAAGTATCTCCTGCTATTAACTTTAAATTTTCTCAGTACCTAATTTCACTTTTCTCTACTATAGAGAATGTAATTTTGAATACATTTTGCTTCCAATGGTATATTGCTTGAGAAAAGTATAATTTATGCAAAACTAAATTTTACACTTTTGTGTCATTTATTAGTATCAACAATGGCTGCAGATTTAGAAAAAAATAGAGATATGGGGCCAGGGATTTAGCTCAGTGACACTGTGCCTGCCTCACAAGCACAAGGTCCTGAGTTCGATTCCCAATACCAAAAAAAAAGGAGCTATCCTTTTTTTATAGATGAGTCTATTTTATACATAAACTTTAAGATGTGAGTAGAGCCATTTTTGTATTAATAATTTTGGTTTACTCTCTAAGTACGTATCAGTACTTAATGCTTTTACATGTTTTCAGTTTTGATAAACGTGTTGCTCATGTTCAGTTTCTACCATCACAAGGGTGTGTTTTGAAAAAAGCATATTTACAATTAATCTATGTTCTTATCTTTAAACACGTCTGTGAAATTCTGAAAGTTAAGTCTATTACATTTAGTGAGGAATTACCCCCAAATACTGTAGGTCTGTAATTAGTAAGGGTAACCATAAATGTCCCTTGGTTTGTTTGAAAATTTACAAGATTCCCAAAGATTAGTCAATCTGTAACTTTGAGGAGTGTTGGAACATTCATTGGAGTCATAGTCCAGTAAAACCAACTGTTTATGTTAATAACATAAATATTTCTACAGGAAATATTCATTCACTCACTTGTCTATTCATTTGTTCACCTTCTATTCATTAATTATTTACTATGCTCCTACTCGAATCCCTGAGTTATACCCAAGGCAGACTCACGGCTACCTATAGGGCAGCGTGCCCAGCAGACATGTATGGTAGAAGACATTTCCCTGTATTCAAGGCCCCTTTCCTTCTAAAGATTTACAATATTAAGAAAGAAATTTCTTCTGTGGTGGTGACGCCAAGAATGGCGAGGATAGTACAGGGACGGTAGAGCAGAGAGGGCTGGAGGAGAGGGGATGGAAGAAAAGGGGAAGGGGTCTTCGGTCCTTTCCTTGGCAACTCCAGGTCCTGGAACACATTTCTTGAGTTTAGACAAAGCTGTGACGTCACCAGCTCTGTCATCTCCCAGCAATGCAAAGCCAAACATCATCGGGCAGGAGAAGACTAAAGATTACATTTTGGGGCTGATAAAACAAGGATTCAAATCTCAGGAATTTTAACTTACCAAATGTTATTATGTGTTTGGTTCATTGTCTAATGTAAAATATTATTTTCTCTTACAAACTAGTAAAAACAAAAGTTAAATATTTGAATTTATTTACACAGACAAACATCTTTATTAGCTCTTTCTTCATGTTAATATTTTAACATATGTATGTATAATTTGTAAGTTTTCATTACATACAACAATGAACTTTATGTTAACTCTTTATGATACTTTGTGTATGGAGTTGGGTGAAAATAGTAACCGAATATGACTATCTAGTAGAAAATAAACAGTATTTATAACTTTTCTATTGAGACTCATAAGAGTTCCCACATAAATGAGGCAAGCATTCTAACCCTGAACTAGACCCCCAGACTAAGTTTCTTCTTGTTTTTTCCCCTACTTTATTGAAATACAGTTGACAATTAAAAATAGTTTACATATAAGGTGCACAAGTCAATGATTTGATATACATGTGAAATATTTGCTATAATCAAGGTAATTAAAATTCTCTCTCTCTCTCTCTCTCACTCTCTCTATCTTTCTTTTTCTCATTCTCTGTCTGGTGCTGGGAATTGAACCCAAGGCCTTCCATGCTCAGAAGTCCTCTACCACTGAGCCACACCCCAGCCAACCCATTAATTTTTTTTTTTGTACCTGGGATGGAACTCAAGACCTTGAACTTGCAAGGCAGGCACAGTGACACTGAGCTAAATCCCCAGCCCCAACCCATGAATTTTTATAAGCCAGGAAGGTGAAAACACCTGAGCTTCACTATAGGTAAACAAATACAATGAAAATAATAAAAGTATAAGTGAGAGTATCTAAATGTAGTTTTAGATATTGTAAAACCTCTGAGTATAATCTTTAATTATCTGATTTCTGATTTTTAACTCTAGACTGATTCTTAAAATGCTGACAGTTCATCACTCCAATGTAAACCTGTCAACAGTTGGACTAAAGGCCTTAGATCTCCTCCTAAATTCAGGTAATGCACTTAGGTATTTTTAATGTTGACTCAATTAAAAATATTTAAAATTTATTAAATGTGTTTTAATTTTATTGGAATCATAGCATAATGTAAGCTCAATATCAGTGATTTACAAAATTTTTTTGTTTCTATTGTCTCTGATTTCTTCTCTATATATTATCTCTCAAAATTCCTACCCAATATCTTGGTTTATCATTATTATTATTATTATTAATTAATTTATTTATTTTTTGAGACAGGGTCTTGCTATGTAGTTCATGATGCCCTTGAACTATGTAGCCCAGGCTGGTCTTGAACAACAATCCTCCTGCCTCAGCATCCCGAGTGCTGGAATTACATGTGTGCACCACCACTCCTGGCCATTATCTTGGCTTTAAACATTACCTTATATAGCACTCCCAAATCTTTATTCCTAATCCTGGCTTTGCTCCCAAAATGTGGTCCCATATTTCCTTTCCCACTAGCTTGGTGGACAGCCGTGCCCTTGCCATTATTGTATCTTTCTTCATGTATATCTTTAATGTGTTTTCTGTAATATATGTTCTAGGATATGCCGTAATAGCAATATTTTAAAAGTAGATAGCACTGCTTCATGAATGCTTGCTAGATGTCAGTATTCACAAGTAAAAAGCCTCAGATGCTTTTTAACACTTAATCCTCCAAACCCCATTTGAGATGGGTGTTTGAATTTCAGTTTTCTGGGTGAGAAATACTAAAGCAGAGGGGAGTTGCTTCAGCAGCTAACTGGTAGAACCAGGCTGTCATTCCATACGTAGGCTTCTTTGCCTGGGGAAACTTCTGCATGGAGGATAAAGGGCCTCGATACAAATACTGATGTGGTCAAAGGCTGTGGCCATTGTTATGATGGTCTCTGGAGGTCCGCAGGTTCTGAGAGGAAAGGTTCTCTCCTTGGAGACCTAACCTAGAAGGACTGTGTGGAGTCTACGTCAATATAAGGGGCGAGGTTTTGAGTCCAGAGAGCTTGGATGCAGAGTATCAGGCCTGGGAGTCAGTCCGAGAGGCTGGACATGGGGTGGGGAGAATAAGGGATTCTCAGGCTCTGCTGGTGAAGGCTCTGTAGCAGAGAAGGATGAAGGAGAGTGGAGACTAATGTATTTTCAGAAAGAAGAGAGGAAAGGCTGGAAGAGACCTGTCATTCCACCACAGCCTCTTATTAAAATGTACTAACCATTTTAACTATGATTTATTTTAAATCCTGTGCTTGGGGGCTGCTTCTCCTCTTCTTTCTTCTGCCCTCCCCCACTTCCTCCACTTCTCCCTCCTCCTCCCTCTTCTTTGTCTTCATCTTTATTCTCCATTTGGCAGTGGACAGGAAGATAAGGATTTGTCAATCTTAAAAAAAAAATCTCACAACAATGGGATGTATAAAAGTCATAAATGTGCAGACATCTAGGGAATTTGACCTGTTTCAAAAATATTAGCTAATTTCTCCCACATAGCATTCCAAATTTTGAGCCATTAGGAAAGTTTTACATGAGTTTTAAAGATACTTATTAGAGGCAGATTTGTGACTCATCATTTTTGTCTGGCTGTTAAATAATCAGTTTAGTAGTTACTGATCATCTGGGGTGTTGGAGAATTCTAAGACAGATGAGGCAAATTCTTACCATGTAGCAGCCCACCCTCCAGCATTGCTGTTCAACGTAACTTTTGCAGTGATAAAAATGTTCTGTATCTGGATTGTCCAATACTGTACTTGGTAGGTATACAACTATTGAACATTTGAAATACAAGGACCTTAATTTTAATTTTAATATTTGACTTTATGAAGTTAAATTTGAGTTTAAATTGACACGTGTGACTAGTGGCTACTTCAGTGGACAGCACAGGCACCTAGATGGATTGAAGCATTTAGGGGAGTAATGACTGAAATTGAAATTTAGTGAGAAGAGTACTGTAACAGAGATATGGAGAATACCCCCACAGAGCAGATGGTAGCCAGCTTCACTTGTAGGAGTTGAGTGCATGGACATGGCCTGCCTACATTTTAATCCAGCTCTGCTTCTTATTAGTTGTTGGCAAAGTTTACCTTTCAGTGCCTCAGTCTTCTGATTGCCAAAATGGGGTTGCATACCTCACGGGGATGTGGTTGTGATTAAAGGTGGGCTGGTGGAGTGCTACAACCAGTGACTGCCACAGGGGTACTATAAAAATCTTTATGGCCACCACTCCTGTTCCAGCACTTTCATTTTTATTGATAGAATAGGCATTGTTTCTCAAATTATGGCAGGAATTTGTTAGGTCTAGAAAAGGGCAGAGTATTCTACGCAAGTGCAAGTGGAAAGGGCTGTTTAAAAAGTTTAGTGGTAAGCAAGGAGTTCAGCATGTTTGGAGATGAAACAAGTGTGGAAGGATGTGAGGTTGCTGAGATCCATGTGTTCAGTTTGTAAAGGATTGTGTTTGTCATACAAAGGAGAAGGAGAGCCCTCAGGAGATGGCAGCAAGGGTGTTATAGGATCATATTTCTATTTTAGAAATAGAATGCAGGGAATAAACTGGCTGGGTAGAGATTTGTGTAAAGCAGAGAAATTAAGCCAGTGTATTTGCATTGTAGGTAAGATATGACAGGGTCCTAGACATTATAGGAGTGGAAGGACCTTGTTAAAAAAAGCATTTTTGAGATATTTAGGAGATAACTCTTGTTAATGAGTTGATTTGTTGGTTCAGTGGAGAAACAAGGAGACGGGGGATGGAAGAAGGAAGATAACTTGGTAGTTTCTTTATGAGAAACTGTGGGTGTTGGTGTCATCCATGACGACAGAGCTGAGAAGTCATCTAGGTCTGGGGATCTCATGGACTCTTCAGAGGGTATTGTTTAAAATACAGGTCGAAAAAAATAAGATAAAATAAAATACAAATAGAGACTTGTCTCAGGTGTTTAGGGCAAGAGGCATAGGCTATATATGTTTCCTGGGAAACAAAATGGTAATAAACTAAATTGGGGATTTATCTCACTTAGAAGGACCCTAGAGCTTGACAGAGCTAGCATTTGGAAAATTAAGTGGCCTGTCAAAATAAAAGTGTACAAATCATTCATAGTCCTTATATAAAAATTAATGCTCCACCTGTTATGATAGCTATTTACTAAGGTCATTTTCTTCTCTTTAAAATAGGAAAAATCACACTGCTAATATTGGATGAAGAAAGTGATATTTTCTTGTTAATTTTTGATGCCATGAGCACATTTTCAAGCAATGATGAAGTCCAGAAACTGGGATGCAAAGCTTTACATGTGCTATTTGAGAGAGGTATTACAAGTCTGTCATATATATAATATATGTAAAATGAAAAGTAAAATATAATTATGCCAAGAAAAGGGTATTAAAATCATACTGCTTGTTAATAAGTGAGAGCTATCTGTCAAGGGTAAGTAATGGGATGAATTCAGAAATCTTGCCTGTCCCTACAGAGTGAATTTCATTTGTGGGCTATGAATCATGCAAATGTAGTAGAATTTCTTTCATTACTTTGCAAAGCATAAGCTTCACTTTGAAAACCAGATTGTGTCATGTTAAGAAGGAAAAAATAAAACTGAAGCCAAGTATAGGTTAAGTGTGGGTTTATGGTATTGAGTCAACAGGGAGATTTTTAGAAATGCTAGAGGCTCTGTCTGAAGAACCAGGAGGCTCACAAAGTTTCCCGGAGGAAAAAGACTTTCATGTATGTCACAGCGTTGCACTAAGATTGGTAACAGTGATTACGGTGATATTTTAGAGCTGGTTGGAATCTGCATCCAGCCCTCCACCTGGCAGAAAGAGGAAATAGGTCAGAAAAGTGAGCAGTTTGCCTGAGGGTGTGTGGCCAGTTACAGTACTGGTTTTGAGAGTCTCTTTTGCATCATTCTGAGAACCAGCTGTGCTGGGGCTCTGGAAAAGAATGATTTACTCAGGCTCTGCTGTCAAGATCGGTTTATCACTCTAGTTTTCAGCAGCTCCACAGATGGGAGAGAGCACTTGATATGATTTAATACCCTGCATGATTCCAAAAGGAATATACGTTAGAGAAAAAGGGATGGGAAAGTGGATAAAGGGAAAATAACAAAGCTAGGTTAAGCTTACAGTATTTAACCTTCTGTGTATTTATTTGCAAAGAGGTGGGCCAGAAATTTGGCTCTTGTCAGTTATAAAGTTTTTTGAGATAAAAGTAAACTCAGGAGGGCTGGGGATTTAGCTCAGTGGTTCTGTTGCTTGCCTGGTACCAAAAAAAAAAAAAAAAAAAAGTAAACTCAGAAGAAGCAGTCTGACTGTGGGAGACCTGAGAGAATCCTTCCATGGTTTCCCTGGATGAGACAGTAAGTACACACGTTTTGTAAGGAGTACACGTGTATTTTGATGAAAGTCACTTGTTAAGAGTGAGAAACATCATGTGCCTGGGACGCAGGCCTGCAGTGAAGGTCTTGGTAGAGAAGACAGTTTACTGTGAGCAGGAATGAAAGACCTTCACGCCTTTCAAGACTGTTTTCTGTAAATGTTGTATCTTGCAGCTGAGCATTTGATAAGAATTGGGCAGGATAAAGTTTGAGGGTCTGTTGTTGAAGGGTCTGTAATCTTCAGTGTTGCAGCTTAAGGGCACATTCTTGTTCGTGAAGAAGGGCAATCGCTACTCTCACCAGCCTTGTGGTGCCCATTTAGGACCTGTGGATACAGACCAGGGTAGGGTAAAAAGAAGAGTCTTAACCAGGTGTGGTGCTGCATGCCTGTGGTCCTAGCCCTCTGGGAGGCTAGGGCAGGGAGTGGGTCACAAGTTTGAGCTGGGAGACAGCAATTTATCGAGACCTTGTTTCAAAAATTTTTTTTAAAAAGATGGGTTGTATCTCATTTTGAAGATGTGAAGGCCATCGGTTTAATCTGTAATAACAACAACAATAACAGCAGCAACAGCAACAAAAATCCTATTAAGTAGAAAGATTATCAGTGCAGAGGTGTGGAGAGTATTAGATTATAAATGTAAAGAAGAAATTTTCTGGTCTTTCCAGGGGACTCAGTAATAATAAAGTTAATTTTTAAAAAGTTAGTTAATAAAGTTAATTTCTAAAAATTGGAAATATGCTGTGGAAACTACACTATGAAATGAAGTATTTCCATAGTATCTCTCAATAATTAAAAGAATGTAACCAATTTCACATTATATTATATGGACATATTACTATCAAATTCAAAAAGTTAATGTTGATCACAGAAATGCTTCTTTTTCTAATATTTTAGTTGGCACCATTTTCAAGCTAAGTAAACCAGACTTTTTATACATTTTTTTTTTTTTTTTTGGTACTGAGGATTGAACTCAGGACCTCCCACTTGACAGGCAGGTGCTGTGTGGCTGAGCTACATCCCCTGCCCTTTATATACATATTTTGAAGTTCCTATCTAATGAAATAAATTTCAAATGGAACTCACTGACTTGATCAAAAGACTTTAACTATGAAAATTGATGATGACAATTTTTGATCTCCGATGGAAAACCATTAAGGCAGTGTTTCCAAGTCTAATTACTTGCCATTTGCTAAAGTTCACAACTTTTAATCTGACACGTTCAGCTGAGATGCCTTGTAAATCTATCATTGGACCCTTTCTTTTAAGTATTATGAATTTTCATTTCAGTAGGCCATGTATATTGGTACTGGCTAGTATTCTCTGGTAAATAATTATGTTTTCCTGAGATTGTTTGGTAACTGGGACCTGATATAAAACATGATATAATTAATATAAGGCAAAACCAAAAATTGTTTTTATACCAATACCTTGTCTTCCCAATGTAAAACTCTTAGGAAGGGCTTTTTACAAAAACATATTTTTATTTGAGTATATTGCATTTGCTGTGTCTCATACAACTATCATGAATCTAGTTTTTAATAAGATTTATGTAATTTTTTAAAGTTTGCTCAGTATTTTTTCTTTCTTTAGTTTCTGAGGAACAACTGACTGAATTTGTTGAGAACAAAGATTATATGATATTGCTAAGTGCATTAAACAGTTTTAAAGATGAAGAGGAAATTGTGCTTCATGTACTTCACTGTTTACATTCCCTAGCAATTCCATGTAAGTATCCTATAACATGGTTTCTTTTTGCATATGAAAAATTACTATGTATCTTCTTTCTGAACATATTTTGAAAACATTTTTATTATTTAGAGATTTGCAGATGCTAAATTTGTTCATTTGTTAATTTAATTAATTTATATTATTGAGACTATATTGCAGCTGGCTCTGTTCTTGATGCTGGGGAACCAAAGGGTGGAAAATATGAGCATGTTCCTTGCCTTTTTAGGGTTCATGGCATGACTGGGGGTCACAGATGGAGTCAGGAGGAGGGCTTGTCAGTGTCCGTGGGTGAGGCTAAAGGAAGCAGTGAGTTCAGGAGAGGCCTGGAAAGCCTCATGGAAGTGTTTGATCTTCAGTGTGATACTTGGCTAGCATTTTAATGACACTTTCAAATTTAGCCACTTTTTTTTTTCACATAGAAGTACAAATCAGAAGAAATTAATTTGCAGTGTATGCTACCAGTCATTACTAATGGATTAAAATATGCTTCAGATTCTGTTTTGTAGTTGCACAGTAACGTTTCATATTTCATGTACTCATTGTGTGGGTTTGTACAGGATATACATATGCATTTGATTAGTAATATTTTCATCCTTGTACATGTTTTTTTAAGGATTCAATGAGTGAAATAATAGGAAAAGTGTACCCAGTGTGGAATATGTGTTCTAAATTCACTCACAGCACTAGGACTCGGTATGTTTATGTGTGGCATGTGCACAATATGTTTATTTAGTTTCAGATATGGGAATCAGTACAGCAGTCCGGAGACGTGGGGCCTCACTGTAGCAGGCTCAAAACCAAATGCCCTTGTGAAAGAATGTCTTTATGATGTTTATAAAACTGTAAGGTTTTCTTATCCATAGGAAATTAAACACTGGAAAGTGGATGAGGCGGAATAATAACAATGACCTTACCTCTATATTTCCTTAAGTCATCACTCCCTACAAACTGAATATATTCTTCATTGTACTTTTCCTGGGTTATATTTGTTCACTGTTTACTTATTTTGGGCTGGCTGCTTTTGGAATTCATTGTTTTCCACCCACATCGGACATAACTCCAGTTAAAATGTGTTGATTCATAATACAAAGGTCAAAAAAGCTGTAGCTAAAAATGAAGAAATCCAGGGTTTTAAACACTGACTCTAAATTGAAGATTTGCCTTTCAATCTTAGAGCAAATTACGGCAGCACCTCTGCCACAAAGCAGATGATTGTTTTAAGAGACTGTTTCCTTTCATTGTTGCCAGTTTTTTTTTTAATTTGAATTTTAAAATGCAATTTAAACATTAAAATATATTTTTGGGAAAACAGTTAGTTTCAGCTATGCTGAAAGAAGAAGGTAAGAAAAATGGTTGGCAGACTGAGTTTTTCTCTTTTACAGAACTGTCAACATTTCGTTCAGAGATGTATTTTCTCCATGTAGATTCACAACTCGCCGTCTTTACTGAGTTTTCCCGGTGGATTCTTTCCTTCCTTTCTGTTTCACTTACGTTTTCCCTTAGTCATATATTTTAATAGTATAATTCCCTTCCCTCCTCTCCAGGACCTCCCCCATCTGTCTAGATGCCTTCAGGAAGCTCGATTTTCCTGCCTCCTACACCGCCTGTTCTTTTAGGACGGAGGAAATAGATCTCAGCTGATTTTAGCAGTTCTGTTATGTGACATAGTCTGTATTTACTTGTGGGGTGACGGAAACAGCCAGTGAAAAAGCCATGATACAATGGCTTCTTAGAAAATAGACCTTCAAATTTGTTTTTTAAAAATTCTTTATATTTATATTTTTTAATGTTTTAAAAATATATGGCCATTTTTAGACTTATAAATAATCAATTTTTCTTCTTTATTTAAAAATTTTAAGCCAAGAAACAGGATTAAAGAAAATTTTCCTTAATGCCGAAGATGAGTCCTATATTCCATTATATTAGCAAGGATAATATTTTCATAACTACTTGATAGAACATGATATTTAAGTTTAGAATTGTAGGCATTATGCTGGTATATTTTTGTAGGCATATTTAAAAGGAGAAAATTCTTACCTTATGGTAATTATGATTTCTTTACATTTAGGCAGTAACGTTGAAGTCCTCATGAGTGGCAATGTCAGATGTTACAATATTGTTGTAGAAGCCATGAAAGCATTCCCTGTCAGTGAGAAAATTCAAGAAGTGAGTTGCTGCTTGCTCCATAGGCTTACATTAGGTGAGTTACGATTCTTAATGTATCATCACAATCTATACGATGTGGGTCTATATAGCATTTATGTATTACATGTTGATGAATAAGTAGAATATTGACATGCATTGGATGGAATTATTTTAAAGCAGCAAATTATTTTGTCACACATAGATGAAGTTTTAAAAGGAGTGGTAACAATCTGTAGAATGTAAGAGAAGCTTTAATCTTATTACTTTTTTGGAAGAAGTGATTCTAAAGGAGTGTTTTATTATTAGGTCTATATTTAAAGTATAATTGTGTAACAGTTGATTCCTAAAAAAGAACAAGTGTAACTTATGTAGAAAATATGAAGCAGAGAGCAAAGAAGCACCTAAGTTTAGTATTAGTACATCACCAGGGCTAGAGATGTTCTTTCCTGTCTCTTCTTTATCTATGAAGGTTAATACTCTCCATCATATTATATTTATCAGTCTTTCCCATTTTAAATATACTTTTTACTACATTTTCATGTTTTCTTAAAATTGTTCATGTGTGCTTATTTCTTTGTGTGTGTGTCATCAAAATGAAATCATACTCTATGTTGTCTTCTGTAATTTAAAAAAATGTGTGCTATGTTTATAAGAATCGTAAGTATTTTTTCATATAGTTGTATGTAGTAATATATTATATATATACCACAATTTATTTATGCATTTTTCTATATGTGATTATTTGAATTTTTTTTTTTTTTTTTTTAGCACTGGGGATTGAACTCAGGACTTTGTGCTTGCAAGGCAGGCACAGAGCCACTGAGCTAAATCCCCGGCCCTTGAACTCTTGTTTTATGCTACTGTGCTGACCACCTGTGTTGCTATGAAAATATAAGGCAGTATTTTTTTCAAATATTTCTTGATTTTGGCAGTTTCTACTTTGTGAAGGTACAATCTGTCTTTTATCCATTTTTGATAGGATGGTCTTTTAAAAAGTTGATTCATAGATTCTGGGTAATAATGTTTTGGTTAGTGGAAAACATCTTGTCTTGATTTGTAGCCTGTCCTTTCACCATCTTTATGGTGGCTTTTTTGGTAGTTAAATTTAATAATCAATTGTTTTGTGATTTATTTTTATGGGTATGCATCTTGTTGAAAAAATCCTTTTTCTAAGGTGGTAAATATATTCTGTGTTTTCTCCAAGCTTTTCTCATTAAAACATTGTAATTGATTTTTTTGGGTAAAGATTTCAATTTCTGTTTTTTCCCTTTTTAATATGGATAGTTAGTTACCACCGCAGCACAATGTAGCATATGGTTCTCCCATTTCCCAGTGGTGTGGAATACTAACTATATATGTTTCTGTTCTTGCTATTCTGTTGATTGATTTGATTTGTCTGGATCAATATCGTACTGTTTCAATCACTGTAGCTCTGTACTGATATCTGATAACCTGATGGGTCAAGTCTTCTTCTGGTAGCACATCTCAGCCTTTTCTCTTGGGCCTTTATTATTCCGTATAAATTTTAGAATTTACTTGTTCAAGTCAAAACTCCAGTGGAATTTTGACTGAAGATGTACAAATCACACAGATCAATTTAGGAAGAAATGACATTTTTACATCCTAATATATTCCGTAAAAGTTTCCTAGGTCTTTGTCAGCTATTTTTGGATACTTTAGCTTTTTTCTTTGTCCGACTTCTTCCTTTCCACTCATGATAGCCTGTATTTCATTTCTTGTCTTCTTGCATGGCCAAGAATTACTAGCATAAGGCTGAATAGAAGCAGTAGTAAGTATCCCTGTGTCATTCTTGTTTTTAAAGAGAAAGCTTCCAGTATTCTAAAATTTTTACAAACTTTTACAACTTTGTCTTATTTGTTTTATAACAAGTAGAATTAATCAAGCTGAGATATTTCTCTCTGGAGCTGGGCTGAGGCTCAGTGGTAGATCACATGCTGAGCATGCACAAGGGCCTCAGTTCAATTGCCATCACCTAAATAAATAAGTAAATAAATACATAAAAAAAAGGAAATTTCCTTTTGTTTCTGATTTGGTTTTATTTTTACATGTGGGCTTTTAAAAAAATCACAGATGAACACTGAATTTTATCAAATATCTAAAAATATTAAGACTTTTTTCTTTTGACAATATAGAATTTAAATCTATAGGTTTTTTGATATTAAGCCACCTTGTAGTTCTGTGATAAATTTGGCCTGATCATTTATTAGATTTTAAAAGTAAATTTCTAAAAATCTTCTTTTAGGGTTATAGTTCTGCCATTTCACCACCTTTTGCTTGCTGTTTTCCCCCTTTCACCTTTTATCCTTTTAAAAAAATGTTTGATTTCTTTAGTCATTGATACACAGTCATTTGGTATGCTGTATCTGATAGCTGCAGTATTTGAAGTGGTGTCAGTGCACATTAGTGGTACAGATTGATGGGTTCGTTTCATCAGTGTGTACATGCAGGTCACATACTTAGGTCCCCTCAGCTCCTGCCATCACCCTTTCCTTCCCATCCCCTCCCCCTCTCCCCTTCGTCTTCTCTGAGCCCCTCACTACATTCATATCATCTCTCTGCGTCTCTTTTTCTTTTTCTTTCCACATATAAGAGAAAACATGTGATATTTGTCTTTCTGAATCTGGCCTCTTCCACATGACATGATGCTCGCTGGTGTCATCCATTTTCCTGCAAATGTCAAGAGTTTGTTTTTTATGGCTGAATAATACTCCATTGTGTGTGTGTGTGTGTGTGTGTGTGATTATAAACCATATTTTCTTTATCCATTTATTAATTCATGGGCTCCCAGATGGATTCAATAGCTTAGCTCTTGTGAGTGTGTTTAATATCTGACATCCTAAAGACCTAAATTACAGCTGCTCCTCTAGAGATGTTTGGTAGGGGGCAGAGCACAAGGCTGACACAGAAGTGCCACCTGACCTTGTTAGGACCCAGGCTCAGTGTGGGAGACTGTCTGGGCTCCCCTTTCTCATGCAGCGTGAAGAGACTCTACTGATTGCAGTAGCAGAAAACTTGCTCTTCTACAAGGCTACTCCAGCTTGTCCATTTGCTTCCAAGTCAGTTCTTATTTCAGCTCCCTGTTGAACTCTGCTGCAACATACACAGATTGATGTACTTGACATTTTTATGAGGGGTCAAAGCATTAAAAAGTGAGCAGTGGGTGGATAATAAGGATCATTAACAGATAGAAGTTGGTTCTGATGACCTTTTCTCTGAAGGTGACCAGTGATATTTTGTGCAAAATTAGGATTATTGTAATAAATATTTAGCTGTTCATCATTACAACTTTGATGACAAATTATCATTCATTTGAAAAAAACCTAATTTTTATGATCTTATTATAACAACTTATATTTTCACTTCTAGAGTCATGATTATATCCCTGTATAACTTGGGAGCTTTAGTGTTAGGAAATTTTTTTAGGTAGATTTAATTAAAATGAATTTTAAAAAATGGAATTAGGGATTGGGGATGTAGCTCAGTAGTGCTGTGCCTCCCTGGCAAGCACAAGGTCTCGAGTTTGATCCCCAGT